TAGGGGGGACGGTATTGTCTCGCGAATGAGACACAGTCACAGTGAGCCTATAGGTGTGAAGTAAAATAGCAAATCCACACAGATTAGCTCACTTGAAATTTCACTCATGGTGTCAGGATTTGGTCACCAAACCACCGGATTACGTATAAATCAATTAGTGTTGTGTGCATGAGGTGGAGATGTTGCCAAATACATACATTCTACCTTTCTTACACTTTATCAAGCCAGTTAATTTCAATCACTTCGTGCTTTTATGCAATACTGTGATTTTTTTTTTCTTTTTAAGCTTGGCTGCAACGAATTAATGGCATTTCAATTCATTTTAATGAGGTACCTTTCCTTGGTATAAGTGTAAATTGAGTTGCCCTGGAACAAATTAAACTTGTAAGTCAGGGTGTCACTGTGTATGACAAACAAAGTTAGATGTCATGTGAAAACATGAACGTAAAATATCGCAAATCACTTGAAGGAGAGCCGTTTAAACTCTCAGCTCATTCCCGAGCACAGCCGGCTTCCCTGCCATCGTATACTGTAGAGCAGCTGTGTTTAGGGTGGAATTCATTGACTTCTAGCTCGGCATAAAATTGTCGCTTTAACATGAAGATTGTTATTGCGGGAAAATTACATATTTACTGGACTAATTTCATGGAAATCCACGCTCCCTCGGCTAAATACTGTGACAGGCAATCAATATTGTTTCCCCTTGTGACCCTGGACACGGCGCAGCCGAGTTCTCATCACGTCAAGGTGAGCATCAAGGCCGAGCTCGAAAACAAGCAAGAGGGCTTTGTTTTACTGAGAGAGGGGATAAAAAAATAAACAATCTTGTTCCTTTTATGTATCGCCACAGAAGAAAAATTGAGGAATATATTAGTCATCTAAATATACAGCGTATGCATTCATTTATCTAGCTATCTATCTAGCTATCTATCTAGCTATCAATCTAGCTATCTAGCTATCTATCTAGCCAGCTGTATTCTTCCAAATCAGTTAGCCGTGTTTTTGAGCATCGTTATCAAATTAATCCTTGACCAGCATGTGAAATGATTTGCCCTATAAAGTCTTTTTTTTTTTTTTGAGGAGAAAGAAATTTCATCTCCCTGTGTAGGAAGACAAGAAAACCATAAACACATTGTTGGAGGCATTTGGCAAATAGGTTTTTATTGCTCTCCCGGTTTGTTTCAGCTGTAAACAGCCGCTGCTTTTCTCTCGGCTCTTTTCGTCTGATTTGTTTGAGCCTCTAATACGTGCAACAGAGAAAGTTTGACCCATTACTATTTATTCAGCTCTCTTGTGTCACTGCCCCTTTCTCCCCAATTTTCTTGGCCCGGTGCATTTTTTTAATTTTCTTTTTGAATGGCGACAAACCATTTTTAGTGTGTGAGATGAAATCATGCTCACTGTCAAAAAGGAACAAAGCCCAACTTCTTAAGACAAAGATTTGACCAAGTGAAGTGTTTCATTCAAGGCAAATCTTTCACTAAATCGCCACGTTATCTTGAACTTTTCATCTATGGACAAAAACAAAAAAACCTTTCAAAGCCCAGTTGGAGTGTTCTTCAATGTGAGTCATTTAGCGGCGATGTGCCAGATAGCAAATCAAGACGGTGAGACAACAATAGCCGTGTGGATCAACGTTACCTTTCCTTCTGGGGTAACAGCAGGCAGCCAGTCAAGGGATCTGAGCACAATGACGTCAACTATGATTCAACTTGTCTCAAAGTGGAAAGATACATCTAATTACGAAAGACGCTTTCTTTATTTTCAGGAGCTGCAAACAGCCCTGCGTCCACGCAACCACTCTGAGTGAAGATTTCTGGCCAATTGTTGACATGTGATACGATCAATTCCAATCTGGTGTCTGCGTTAAATCAGAACGTTCCAGATGCGTGGCGTGCAGGTGGCTGTAAACATCACGTGATTTCTCAAGAGGGAGGTCAGTCGTATCCTTAGCCGCGGTAGTTGCGACGACCGTTATTCACTTTTATTAAAGGCACAGCGTGATGAAAACAAGTTGCGAGTAAACACGTGACTGTCGTTTTCGAACAGACGATAGCTTGTCCCGCATACACAAAAGGTTGGTTCAATTCTCATCCCCCAAGTCTCTTCACTTTTTTTTTTTTGCTCGTCCTTGCTGTTGATCAGGGGTGTCAAACAAATTTTTGTCGCGTGCCACTTTGGAGTTACGTCTTCCTTCAGAGGGCTGACAGTGAAACCACAAAAAGGTTGTCTCATCGCATTATTACTTGTACAAATTTAATGGATTACTTGTTTTGAAATCAGTCAACACTAATAGCTGGTGAATTATTGTTCAAGTGAGTGTAAACAGGGTAACAAAATTATTATTTATTTTATATGACAATTTGACATTTTGATACAGCTTTTAACAAAGGATCACGCAAGTTGACACACATGATTTTCTTTCGGGGGGTGGGGGGGCACATTAAATGACATGGCGAGCCGAATCTGGCCCCCGGGCCTAGACTTTGACACCTGTGCTGTAGATGAAGGCACTTTCGAAACACTGTTATGAAACAAGTGAGTACGATATGACACTTAGTGATGAATGTGAAAGAAAATGGTCGCTGTGACTGGAGGCACGGCGCTACCTTTGATTTGCGAACCGCTCATTGTTTGCGAAATGGGAAATAAACCGCCTCGGATTTGGATGATCTTTCATTTCACATCATTAGCTGAGAGCCCCGAGGGGTCATGTCGTCATGTTCAAGCCCAATATTGGATCAGTGTATAATCAGGACTCATTAGGCCGAGCACAATGGACTCACACAACATGCTCGGATGATACCACTGGTACTCGCTCTTTGTGTTTGTCATTGCCAATAACATTCCTGCCACACAGTTGTTCTTTGCCGCGTAAGGTGATTCTGGAACTTTTCTGACACACCTCGTCTGGAACACCTCTTTGGCAGAGGAAATAAGTGTGACGACATGTGGAAATACTAAATTGCCTTCAGTTTTTTAGCGTAGCACAAGAAATGTTTATGATAAAACGCTCCATGTCTTACACCACCACTAATGTCGCCTACTTTTCATATAGACTACCTTGATATAAACTTAAGCATTCCTGCACAGCACTTGCCGTTTGACTTTTTTGGTTTTTTTTTTCACTTTCACAAAGGGAGCATTTAGTGAGAAGACAAAAGCTAAATTATTTCTGCTAGCTGCTGCGGGGCTTGAAGCATGCTGCTCATTAATTAAGGAAAATGTATTAGTCATGACTCCCACCCAAACTGCATATTGATGAGGCGTGTGTTTCCCCCGAGGAGAGGGGCTGCCTCAGGAGAGAACATACTCAATACTTAAAGACTTTATGTTCGGATAGAAGAAAGAATTCTTCTGCCATCACCACTACAGCTATCAAATAATTGAATTTGAAATGCATTTTGAATCACCATCTGAAATGACTCCACATTTAAATTGTAAAACCATCAGCGGTTACAAAATGAGTCTGATGAGCTCAGTGGTGGGACTTTAACAACAAACATCTTCCCTAAAATGAATGAATACCATATTTATGATCAAGAATGGTTGATTATAACCCTTCACGCTGTTTTAATTATGCTATTTAGAAAATGAATAATTACGGTAGATTTTTTTTTTTTCTTTGTCGTACTCAGCCCCAGGACGTTCCTACAACAGCCTCATCAGGATGGCTCATTAGTGCAACGTATAGTGGTTCGTGTGTAACATGTCTGCAGCAAAGATTCATTTGGATCCAGAAAGTCTTGAGTTGACGGAAATCGTTTACTCTTGATATCAAATAAACGCTCCACGTGTGCCTCAGTGGGGAACTCGAGTCATAATCAGTATCGCAAACAATGAATTGACAAGTCTGTTATCTCGTTAACGGAGCCGTAGAGTAATTTGACACAACACAGCAGGCGGAATACAATGCTTGACATGGTAAAATTAATGAAGGATGAATTCCTTTTAGCTGCCTATGTTTTAAAACTCATGTGGCTCAACGACTACTGTGTCACATTTCACCGTTAGATCCTCTTTGTCAGCGTATAATTCTGCTTCCGGGATTCTCTTCTTGCCGGCTAATGTAGAAACTGATCAGTCATAATCAGTAGTTAGCTTGATTTATGTCAATGGTTGCCATATTCATGACTCACTTGAGGTTTGTCGTAAAGAAACCAATTTGTCTCAAATCGTGTCTCCATGGCAGAAAAAAATCAGGCTTACATTTCCACAGCAGAACATAAAAGTGTCCGCACAACGGACTGGAACTCACCAATGAATTTAACAAGCTAGCATTATCCTTGAAAGACGCAACAGAAATGACTCAAATTGCAAAATGACCCAATTCACACCAATTTTCTGCCACATGTTTTTTCCTTCACATTTACTCTTCGGTTACTATTCTTCGTCCAGTCGCGGGACGGCAGTTTGAAGAGACTCTTGTCTTGCAGTAAACCACACCATGCTCTTGCATCAATCCCCCAATCAAAGGATGCTATAGAATATTGAATGAAGTGAGTTAGATATTAAGATTATTTTTTTTCCGCTAATTTTAAGGTTGATAAATGTGTACTGTACTGAACTGAATCTCACTGTTAGGTTAAAACGCACTACTCTTGTTGGTTTGTGTGATTAGGCTGAAGTGTGGCTTCACTCTGAGTAAAGACTGTAGACTAAAAACTAAAAAAACATACATCCTTCCAATATCTTCAGTTTTTTAAAAGTCGATATATACTCCACTTAAAAATGGACCCGGATCCAGATGGGTTTAATTTCATGCAACCACATGACAAAATAAACAGTGAATTAATGCACACCGTTTTTTTAAGTGTACCGTAGCCACAATAATACAGGGAACTGGTGTTCATAAATATGAATTCTAAAAAAAAAAAAAAAAAATGTTTTAACACTGACAGATTATCTTCCAGGCTTTTAAATGACCCTTTCGTCAATACCCTCTCCACATTTACACACGCACCAACTCTGACCGCCTTCTCAATCCTTCTCTTTGACAGAGCACGATGAGTGTGCCAGTAGTCAGAACTCATGCGACGACAATGCAATCTGCACCAACACCATTCGAGGACATCTGTGCACCTGCAAGCCAGGCTATGTTGGAAATGGTACCATCTGCAGAGGTAAGTTCCCGCCCGGGGAGATCCCCTCGCTCGTGTAAACGCAGACAACCAATTGGGAGGGATCGCGTGCCTCGTCGTAACATCTTTGACAGTCTGGTTCGGCCTTCCTACTCATCACATGACCAGGCCACAGCGGCCGGGCTGATGATTCCAAAATAGATTTTGGAGCTTTTGCCACAGGTGCGCCTTCTCTGCCTCAGTGCTCACGCTGCCTACTGTTGACCGTTTAAGTACCGTCTGAGCGCCCCATTGGTTTGGCTGTTCATGAGCGCACAGATGGAGCAGGGAAAGGCGTAAATGGGCGATCATTTTATTTTTTTTTTTTGAGGCAATGTCTTAGTGTGTCCATATATCCTGTAAACCACTTTAAAAATGGCTTCGACATACAGTATTAACCCAGCAGAAGTCAGGTGTGAATTTGACTTTGATTGCTCTGATAGTTGTGGCCCTGAAACTCACGCCACAAACATTGTCACATGAAATGTTTTCAAATGCTTCCTGTGCGCTAGGAGAATTATACTTGACATAAAAGGCTCAACTTGAACAGAATTAGCAAGGTAATTGACAGAAAAATTGGAGTGAAAAATCACATTGAAGAATTAAACGCACTCACAAGGCTTTAAAGGGATTTTGTCCGTCTTTAATGGACTGAGTTTAACTAGCAACTAAGGCAATAACACCAAGCTCATAAGGAGCCTTTCATGAAATGTTCACGATTCACACTGTGGTAGCATTTGGCTGTCATCCAAAGATGAAAGTATCATTAGTTAGGGTGTGATTTCACTAAATGTCTTTCATCACAGGACAGTGGCTGGCGATGAATCACCAGCTGTGATTCTTACTGTGGTTCTTAAGCACAATGAAGATAATACTGCCTAATCGGTCACTCAGTGTATAAAAATGTTTTTATGTTTGATGAGCTCTTTTCAAAAGTAGATGATGGCAAAACGCAATATTTCCATTCTGTTGTGCAATGAAACACTTTGACCCCCCCCCCCCCCCCCCCCCCCACACACACAATTTTGCTGCTGTAGACTGCAAATTCCCCAGCCAGTGAGGGACAAATAAAGGTTATCTGATTTTTTTGGCCTAACATGTTCAAACTGAGCCATGATAACATGGAAAGTGTGTGCAAGTCCGTGAAAGGTGCCTTTGCATCTTGCCTTACAACCTTGGGTGAGTGACAGTATGTCTGCAACAAGGAAACGTCAAAAAGACAAAGCGTGACATGAATTCAATTCAAAGATGATGGTTGTGATTTCGACAAAACTGTGGAAGTAGTTGTAGGCCAACTGAACCCACCCACCCTCTACGCTGGTGTCACACAGGCATTAAGATGGGGAGCAAGTAGGAAGCAGGCAGAAAACAGGTCTTGGGATAGATCAATGCAATTTACAAAATGCTTCCCATTCATTTTCTGCCTCTGGAATGTCTCCAAGCTCATACCCACACGCAGCTCGACGTCTGGGCAATATGCGGCCTGTCTGTAACGCCACATTTTTCATTCTGGGAGTCATTGGCAATGTGCAAATGAAGGAACAGAGGATTAAAAAGCTGGATATTTGGAATTATCGCAGAGAATATGAAATGTGGGAACTTACGCGCGTGTGCCAGTGACAAACACTATTTGGAGAAGTATATTGTGGAATAGTGGCCCGTATAGTTCTGTGTAACAGCGCATAGTCAATAGACCTACACTAATCTGTAAATACCACGTTTAGAATGCAATCATGGGCATCAGGTAGATAACGTTCTGGAGCCTATCCCAGCTGTCTTCAGGCAGTAGGCGGGGGACACCCTGAACTGGTTGCCAGCCAATCAATCGCAGGGCACACACAAACTAACGACTATCCACGCTCACAATCACACCTAGGGACAATTTAGAGTCTTCCAGTAATATGCCATGCATGTTTTTGGAATGTGGCAGAAAACCAGAGTACCCAGAGAAAAGCCACGAAGGCACGGGGAGAACATGCAAACTCTAAACAGGAAGGCCTGAGCCAGAATCGAACCCTGCACCTTTGCTATTTGAGGCGGACGTGATAACCAGTTGCCCACAGTGCCGCCCTACACACACATACTTGAGTGCTTTACACTTGAGTGTGTGCGCGCGCGTGTGTGTGTGTGTGTGTGTGTGTGTGTGTTTTTTTGCGTGTGTGTGTGTGTGTGTGTGTGTGTGTGTGTATGTGTGTGTGTGTGTGTGTGTGTGTGTGTGTGTGTGTGTGTGTGTGTGTGTGTGTGTGTGTGTGTACTCAGTGACCGCAAAGCAGCAAAAAGAGAAATGAGATGAGCCCTAAAACCTCTGTATCCCCAAGCAGAATGCCTTGCAGCATGGTTTTCAAGTTGACTGCAGGGCAGTGTTTTACTTGTCAGAAAGCTGGCCACTCAATTTGTAATATAGTAGCGCCGCCTGATACTGTGACTTCCGAAGGCAATATCACGAGAATTGGGAAACTCATACACTGCGATATTTACAATATTGTTGCATCCCTAATAATGACCATATACTTTACAGCACAGTTGTTTTTCTCTGTGTTAGAATACACATGAACTTCGATAAAATAATTACCATAACACATTTTAGCTTGGTGCTTGACAAAGGGTGAAGTACTTTTAATACTGTAAGACACTGGAATGTCTACTTGATTGTACAGTACAAGAAAAAATAATTACAGCTAATTGTGCTACTAGATCATTTCAATTTGACCCAACTATCAGGTTGCTTTGTGCAACAGCCCAATTTTTTTTCGGGTCAGATTGGCTCAAAAAGTGTATCGGCCCCTCTTTGACCCAAATTGTGATATTTTTGAGCCAACTGTTTTTAGACCATATTTAATGATAATGCCCCTAAAACTTCCTATGACTTGCTATCCCATTCTGGCCAATTAGTATTATTCAAGCAAGGAGTTGGAAGAAGTGGCCTCTTTTTTTCCCCCCCTCCCCTTGAGATCTCATTACCGTGTGATAGCGACAGTGTTGGCCAATCGACCTGTGCCTCCCATTTCATTCCCCTCATACATCACTGCATCCCCCGTAGGAGGGAATTAGTCTGAGTGCGACTAGTGCTCCTCTGTCCATCGCTGTTAATATTAATAGGACAAAGAAGCGTGTTTAGCCAGGCTTGAGCAATCTGTCCACAGCAAGCAAGGCTAAGTCAGGTTCTGGCGCTAAAAATGTGTCATTAGCAGAGCAAGTTGAAAGCTGCGCAGGTGATGCACATCCTTCATTTTGTAGGCTCTGAGGGGAAAAAAAAAACAACAATTTCTGTCTGTTGCTACTTAATTGGCACAGTTATATATTATATTCATTGCATTTTGGGAAAGGCCAGGTACAACTAGAATAGTAAGTCTTTATCTATCAATTTGCTATAATGCTAGTCCTCATTATGGTCATAGATGAGCTGGAGCCCCTCCCATCTGACTGGAACACCCTAGATAGGTCGCCAGCCAATTGTGGGGCATATACTGTACATAGGCAAAACAAGCATTCACATTCACACCAACTGACACTTTATCCGATGTCGCTGTGTTTGTTGAGGTTTTCATCCAAACCTGTACTGTGCCCCTCCCCTTAGTTTGGGGCTTGCTTTTTTTTCCCCTTCCATATGTTTTCTTTCTCATCTCAGAAAATACTGGCGACCCGTCAGGCTTCCCATTGTGTCTGTCTCTCTCGGTCATTGTTTTTAAATCTCTTGGATGGGTTGTGACTGTGAATTTCGTTGTTCTGTACTCATGACATGTGCAATGACAGTAAATGTGATTCCATTTCATATTTTTGGAACATGGGAGGAAGCCCGTGCAAGGACAGCTGAGATCCAAAAACAGGTTCAGCCCATTGACTCCGTATAGGAATTGTTAGGAAAGTTCGACAAGTCAGTTATTTGTGTTTCATCCAGACTTGGTGATAATGCAACACATACGACATATTCTTCTATTTCATCCCAGTTCTGTACTTTTGCTCATATGTGACAGTTTGAGGCTGTCAGTCAACATGAAGCTATTAGATTTTTTTTTTAATAGAAATGCTGCCGTATTTGATGTGTAATGTGGCTCAAGTGCTGCTCTCAACGGGGCAATTTCACTTCTCAATGTCTCTCTCAGTCTTTGGCTCATGCTCTCAAGGGGGGGTCCAGATGCATTTGCCACAATAACTCTGTGTGTGTCTCGACCAGCCCAATTCTGTTCCCGCATGAACTTTTGAATTCGGTAATTACAGCTACTGCTGCTCCAGAAACGCCTTGCCCCTTCAGCGACAGAGACATATCCATCCACCTGCTCTTGATGCTCTGCAAACACCTGATGAAGAAGTGTTTCTATTCCACCTCAGAATAGCTTCAATTTGTTTTGCAAAAAGTCAAATTTGCAAAAGCAGTTGGACCCGAATGCAGTGACTTGCAGGCAGAAGATGTTCGGTCGGAAGAAAATGTTTTACAGCAATTGATTTTATGGCTGAACCGGAATTGAGACAAAATGAGGCGTTAAGACTCTATATCTGTTTTGTTTTGTGTTTTCGTAGTGCGGCTCTCACGGGGGAAGAAAAGGTGGAGCCACTGTGTCTGTAGCCATTTTATTGAGTGACAACACGATAAATAGGCCACAGTAATTCAATCAGAGGAAAGCAAACAATTATAGATCAGCATTGTCTCAGTGTCAGCCTAATGATCGGCTGCCTCTTGCAGAGCTCGTGTCGGTTGTCGAATAAGTGATCATGGTCCATTTCATCTCCGAGCGTTGCGCTGTACAGACCAAGGCGGTGGAGTCGCGAGGCTGAAAAGCATCGGGAGACAAAAGCAATATCTCTTTCTGTTCTCATCTTCCGACCAGAGCTAATCACAGAAGAGCCATGTTTCACCCAACTACCGGCACGCAATTAAGGAACGATAATGTATTCCGAATCATCAAGGGAGGACATTTGCTTTAGGAAGGAGGTGGCGGGTGATAAGCACAAAAGGGTGGTGGGGGGTGGGAGGTTGTTGGGAAGAGCCTTGATTTTTCCTTACA